TGTACATCGGCGTAGCCAGAATGGAATTTAGGGGGGGGGGGGGGCCGACCCTTTTATTTGGGATTTCAGGGTAATATTTTTAATATTTTAAAAGGAAAAGTGGAAAGTGAGGGGGGGGGGGGGGGGGGGGGGGGGGCCTCGAGCATATGTAAATAACACTAGTTGAAAAACTCATAAACACTGCGCTTTTCAATTTTCCTTGAGTTCTATAAAGTTGAGTGAACTGCACCTCCAAGCTGGAAGTCGCACTGTGCATCGAACGTGGACAAAAATGACAAAATCTAGTGTCCTCGAATACACATTTTTTGGTATCATTTGAACTACAGTTCAGAAAAGTTTATATCATAGCTTGTAATAAAATTGACCTGAAACCTTATTTATTTATCAATTTAAATCTAATATAATTTGTGCAATACAGAATATCACTTCGACACTTGGCATGAGCCGTTTATTTTCAAAATGGCGAAAGCCACTTCTCAGCTCTTGTGCTTACATGATTCCGTTCTAAGTAGCAGATCATTTAAGCACAAGAGGTACGAATTGACTTATGCCACTTTCAAAATAAACGGCTCATATATTTTGATCTTCAATAAAATGCACTGCTTGCGAGGTCTCTCTTCACTAAGAAACGGCTAGATGGATTTAGATGAAATTTGGCATACGCTAAGATCAGGAACATTCTAAAGTTTTTGAGGTGGGTTGCCACCTGTTAAAAAAGTTGAATTCAAATGAATTCAACAGTTATTTTAAATATGCATCAGAATTTAAGTGTCAAACAAAATTTTTTTCGTAAATTATGGGAAATATTTTAATATTTTTGGTGTCAAAGGAAATAGTTTTAAAAAGCTTTATTTTAAAAGTATGAACTTCAATAAAAATGAAAATAAAACCTTTTTAGGATAAAAATCGATAAAATATCGATAACAAAATCGATGATAAATTCGATAAAATTTTCGATAGCAAAATCGATAATAATATCGATAACAAAATCGATAAATAATCGATAACAAAATAGATAAATAATCGATAACAAAACCGATAAAAATGTCGATTATTATATCGATAAATCCCGAGAGTCCCGAAATTCTCTAAAACTCCAAAATAGCTCCCAGATTCAGTCTGTGTTTTTATCCACATATATACATTTCTCTATAATTACCTTTATTTTAATATTTCTTCCTCTGTCCTCATCTTTACTTTTATCAGTATCCTCATTCTCATCTTTTTCTTTATATTTATCTTTGTTTTTATTTTTATGTTTATCATTTTCTTCAGCTACATATTGCCCTTCACCTTTGTCCTTATATAAGTAAAGTGTTTAAATTTACCTTGGTCTTCATTTTTGCCTTTATCTTTACGCATCTTGGTTTTAGGTTTTATTTTTACCTTTATCATTTATTTACTTGTTGTATGTATGTACTCACCTTTACTTTCATTTTTGTATTGATCCTTTTCTAAGTGTTATTCTTTAACCTTTTATTAGCTAGTTTTTGTTAAATTAACAACATACATTCAAGAAGCACTTGTTTCCGTCTCAACCATTTCCGTTGCAGCATTTCCGTTGAATTTGCCAATTTACTCCCAACCAACCGCCGCTAAAGAAGTTTCACCTCAAAATAAAAAAAAACTATTTCGTTTTGCAAATTAACGTGATGTAATCTTCTTAGAAGTAAAGTTTCAACAAATTCCCACCACTCCTTCTATTTTTGTTCATTGTTTGTATGTCGTCGGTACACTGTTAGTCTAGTTGACCAGCGCGGCGGTGCGTTGGATGTGCAACATTAATTGGCTGCAAGTTGCCACAAAAATGAATGAAAACAAAACTTATGATGAATGCTCTTACTTATGTACTTACATAGTTTAATCCAAGTTTCTCCAAGGCTTTACTGCGGTGCTTGGCTAGCATGGCGGTAGCATTTGTCTAATGCAGTAGCTCTGGTAGGGCTCTCGAGTTGTGACTGCCGCCATACTTTGCAACATAGCGTCGGCTTTTTTGATGTGCGAAATACATATGCATGTGTTTTATTTTCTGTCTATGATGCCTTCAGCTTTATTTAAGCGTTTTTGTATCAATATTGAAATGAAAAGAAGTAGAAGAAGAAAAATGCAAAAACTAATGCAGACTTAAAACAAAAAAAATAAGTTAAAAAAGTATAAAAAACAGTTGTAGCTGTATTAATAGTGGGACGATCTACCGTATTCTATCAAAATTATTCGCTTAAAAAATACGCATGCGTACAATAACTAATAAAATCCTCGCCTCTGGAACAAATAAATAGTACTGCTCATACACATACATGAATCACTACAATTTGTCAATGAATTGCCGACTATTTGCCACTTCGAACAGCAATTACAGATACGACTTAATGCCTAAGAAATCTAGGAATTTGGCACGAAATCGAAACGTTTGATCTTCACCGCCCGGTCTTCAATTTCTGCTCTTATTTTCATGGTAATGTTGCAATATTTTTGAAATGGTTCCGTTTGAAGCAAATAATAAAAGTGACCTCGTTTCTTATTGAAAATACCGGTATACCGTAGATATGTAGTACGGTAGGGTGGCCCTTAAGCATTGACAGACTCAGGTAGGGGTAAAAAGCGCATTTACCCTGCCTCCCTTAAAGCCCTAGGACTTATATAATTAATACTAGAAAAAAATTCTACAATTCTGGCCGAGATCAGTAAAGCACGCCAGTCGATTCTCTTCTGTACCAACTGACGCCAATTGGAAATGCCAAGTGGTGCCAAGTTCTTCGCCACCCTGGTTCTTCGCTCGCAGTGGGTGAAAAGCGTAAAAGCCCCTAAATATTCGGTAAAATATTTCTCCCGATTTTCAGTTTTTTGATGTTTAATGCATAGTGTCTGGAGATATCGAAGGTTGAAATTCTATCCATCACCTCAATAGGATTCCCCATAAGTAATGTACGTAAGTAGATTAATACATAAAAAAATAAACTAAAAAGCGTGCACGTGCGCGATATACTATACATATGTATTAATGAAGGTAAGCAAAAACATTCCAATAAAATTTCGAGTGTAAGGGTTAGAACGTCCAAAACATTTTAATCTATGTCTCTACTTTGTGAATATCTATAAACTTTGGTTTGAGATAAAAACCTTTAAAGGCGACGGGAATATAATGTAGATATCTATGTAGTATACATATGTATGTATGTATGTAGTGTAGCAGTGTTGCCAGAGAAAGTCCCCTAAAACTCTTAATTTTTTCCAAAAAAATCTTCAAAATAAGATTTTAAAGCTAAAAAACAACTTTTCGATCCCAAAAAATCTTCATTTAAAAATACTTAAAAAAAAACACAAAATTCGATATTGTCTTTACGGCTGTAAATAGCCCTTATTATGTTGGTTGAAAAAATTACAAATTTCAAGTTATAAAGTCCTTTTTGTAACAACTTAAACATAAAATGAATATTGCCTCGTATCATCACAAAATTTGTAGCACAGTTAACATATGTATGTATATACACACTGGCGAAAATATAAATCGGGACGCGACATTTTGCAAGTTTTGACCGACTTCAAAAAATGAGGAGTTTATCAATTCGTGCGAATATATTTTTATGTATACACGTTACCGCATAACTTTGGACTACTTGAACTGATTTCGATAATTCCTTTTCATCGGAAATGTGGTACCTCAAGGGTGGTTCCATACTAATTTGGTTTAGATACGGTCATTGGATCATGAAGAAATTGACGATAAATTTTTATATAATAATTGAAATCGCTTGTGTTTTTTGTTTAAAAATTACTTGTTTTTTGTTTTATGAAAGAATCGCTCGTTATCTATCAAAAACCATAAGTCCAAACTTCAATCTTTGTACAAAAGTTAAGAAAATTCTACAAAGCTCTATAACAATTTTGAGCTTTTTAATTCGATTTTTTATTGGTATTTTTACATAGACATTGTTTTATAAATCTCGCCGCCCCTTTATTTCTCGTTATACATTTATCCATGTAGACCCATCAGCAAATGTTTCTTATCATTTAAACTAGAGGGGATACACCGTTTGTTCTGTCACTCCACTCTCAAGCTCTGCAATAGAGTATATGTTTTGCTGAGCGAGAGAAGAAGGCAGATAATATTGTAGGGGGTTTCGTATTTCATATTTCTTCTTTCTTAATTTGCTGCTTACAATGATGTAGCAAGGATAATATAAATAAGTTAACAATTTTAACTTAAACATTAAAAGTATTACATCATACACAAAAATCTTTATTTTGAAATTATTTTCAGAGTAAAGTTTTGCTTTAAAAAAAAATCTTTTTATGAAGATTTTTCATAAAAAACAGCCCAAAAAATCTTCGTTTTCAAGATAAATCTTGACTTATGGCAACGCTGATCATAAGTCGTCGAAAACTTGGCTTGACTTTAATGCGACTTTTCGGCTTTCATATGCATACATCATATTGGATATTTTACATATATCTACATATGTATTTTCTTTTGTACAAATCCCATACACCCGTGCATACCTATACACATGTACTTGCTGCGAATCGTCGTCTACTCGGCAAATGATCGTAAATGCGATCGGATGTGAAGGCGTGCAATACGCGATACATTCGTTATCTTTATGGCTGTCGATGTTGGCGCTCTTCTTGGGGCTATGTTTATTTGTTGTTGTTGGCTAGCTAAAGTTGGTGCTTGAGTTACATATGTGCGCTTGTGCTGGTGTATGTACATAGTTAAGACTGATCCTCAGCGCGAAGATAGATCAGTAATCGGTGGAGACAGTTTTCGTCGGTGGTTTAAGCTATGCGGGTAACTTTGTGATCGCCTGCGGAAAAATACTAACGATTTTTTGCTGGTGACATGTACGAGCTGCGCGTGTGTGAGTAATTTTAGATTTACAAATTGTGCTTGATGACAAAGTGACAAAGGTTTGTGCAAGATAAACAAAAAAGGGCTGTCAAGTATTGTGCGAAAAAAATTAAATCAAGTTATAAACTAAAATATAAAGTTATACCTTAAAGCTTTTCCAACAACATCTATTTTGTCCTTGTTGTTGCTAACATGGATACGGACACAAATTCATCCGATTCAAAATCGGCACGTTCTAAACCGGTGGAAACTCTCGTTATGGCCAATTATGCGGCTAAAGCAGAACAAAAACGCATTGGCGTCGGCAGCGGTCGTAAAGAGGATGAACGTATTACGACGGCTGTTATGAAGGTGTTAGAAGGATACGATTGGAATTTGGTGCAAGCGACCGCAAAGTGAGTTAATAAATTATACATACCTGTACGTATGTATGTATGTATGCATAAAATTGCTTGTGCTATTCAAGTGGAATTCACATGAAGGCCATTTAACATAAAAAAATTGAATCTTTACGGACTGTGGGAATTACTTGAAAGCTGTATCGTAGCCTTTGCTTTTATAACTCCAAAAAATAAAAGAGTTAAATAAATTAAATTTTGTTATTGTGCTGGCGAAAATCTATAATCAAAAATGTTTAATCTGAACGTTTTTCAACTTCATCAAATCAAAATCTCTGGTAGGCAGTGTTGCCAGATTTTTTTTTTTTTTTGAGAAAACTTAACTTCCGGAAAAAAATGTATTTTCGACCAAAAAACTGTAACCTTCAAAAACGAAGCGAATTTTTAAAAATTAAGGTTTTTTAAAACTATTAAAATTGGATAACAAAGAAAGATGCATTTAAAATAAAATAACATAAACCGTTTAAATTTTACACAAAGCTTAGAATCCACGCTCAAGAAAAATCACTAGAAATATTTTTCATTATTTCTGTTGCTTGAAAAAGCACCGGTTTTTTGTTGTTGTTCGTTGTAAATTCTCTAAAAGAAATAAATATACGAGCATTTTTTTCTTGAGAACTGCCCTTAACTAAACAAAAATAGACTTTATAAAATAAAATAAATATCAAGGAATTATGTATGTAGTTCGTAAAATACCGAAAAGTGTTGGATTTTCTAGTTTATTTATTTTTTAAATCAAACTGATTTGGGAAGATATTCTTTGCATATTTGCTGATGCGACCGGAATGTTAAGGACAGCTGCAACCATTTAAGGAAAAGCTGCTCCTATTATGTTAAAAATTGTTTTATAAAAAACACGAAAGAGGAATTTTAATTTATTCGTTCAGATGGGAAATTAAAAAAAAAACTTAATTTTTTACTGGGAGATAATTTAAAAAACTGTAAGCTTGTCTAAAAACTGGACTGGTAAGTAAGGCTTCGCCGTTTGCCCAGACACATTGTAGATACATTTGTATGTCCAAGTCAGTATAATTGTTGTATTTTATATACTTCCATGTCAATATAAAGCTTCTATATGTATATAGTTCGTAATTTCATATTCTTTGGTACACGCGAAACGGGAAAACACGTCTTGCTTAGAATAGGTTCCCTGAAAGCCTTTTCATCTTTTTCCGACAATGTCTATGTTTCTGCGTCATAAAAAAATAACGGTCGTGATAAGAGACTTGTAAAGCGTGATTTTCGATCGTCGAGAGTAAGCTCTCATAAGAGTTATTCTTAGCTTGATCTACAGGCTGAAATTATTGTTGATGGAAATGCTGGATCCTAGGTATACAAAGTTCTTTACTATTTCAAAGTTTTATGTACCGGAATGATTCGGGTTTTACTCGACCAAGGGCTGTTGTTTCGACGATTTAACCCTGCTTAGGTCGGCGGAATTTATCAAAAGTTGTTCGTCCATAGGGCAACATCTGAGCTGTATTCCTCTTCTTAGGGTTGGCATAGAGTCACACCCAGGGCCAGAAACTTACACCCACTACGTCCAAATTCCTCTTCGGTCAGGTGTAACACCTGCAACGGGTGAAGCCACCTCAAAACCTGCTCGAGTTTAAGAACACACCGGCAGTGGAATACGTCATTCGTGGTCCCATTGCTGCATAAACCGGATCTCTTCCACAGTACACCAGAGTTCACACGAACAGGTCCCTCGCTTTGAACTACCAACGTTCAATGGACAAATCCTACGATTATCAAAACAAGCGAAGTAACTGGGAGTCATTTTGGTATGGTGGACAGCCTTAAAAAACCAGGATAATCATGTGAAACTTGGCAGAGTTCAGAGGGTTGTATGCATCGGAACCAAAAGGGAAATGAGAGCTTTCCCTACCGATTCCCGCTATGTTTTCACAAACCTATTTTCTATAGACCTTCACATAAGGCACACCCCATCACTCTCGGCTATAAGACTCGGAGAACTGAGTATATGGAAAGAACGAAGGGTCGGGCATAGCAGACTGGATACCGATTGCATATGACCTGATGTGGAGTTCCACAGGCCTTTCGGGGTCATTCTTCCGACGAGAGCCGACTGGAACGGGGAACTTGATATCTCTACCTGGAAATATCATCTGTACACCGATGGCTCCAAAATGGAAGGCGAAGTTCTAGCAGGCATTTACTCTGAGTTCCTGTGAGTAAAAATATCAATTCAGCTGCCCGATTTGGCAAGTATTTTCCAGGCAGAAGTATACTCTATAGCCAAAAGCGGTCTACGTCACGGCGAGCGCGTAGCTATTTTCTCAGATAGCTAGGTGGCCATTAAGGCCTTGGCGTCTTTTACAACAAGGCCGAAACTAATCAAGGAGCGTAGGACGTTTTTAAATTCCGTAAGTAGTCAACTCGATTTAGATTTAGTTTGGGTTACTGGTCATCGAAACATTCTCGGAAACAAGGCTGCAGACGAGTTAGCCAGAGAGGGTTCCACATTGGTGTCGATCGAGGTGTCTTTCTCCACAATCTCCAGAAATCGGATTAAAGGTGGTGCACACTGGCAGGCTGCCATAAATCCAGACTCATGACGCCCGTGCACAATGCTAAGAGAACCCACAACTTACTAAGTAAACCGAATCTGACGTTGCAAAGCTTGTAGCGACTCTTACTGGGCATTGGCCGGTTGGTACCCATGCGTATCTTCTAGTCGAATAGTAACTGGTGATTTCCACCAGTTGATTCTCTAAATCTCCGAACTCAATTAAGAAGTTTCGTTTCAATAAAAGTCCCATATAATTTTCAAAAGAAGACGTAAATGATTTCCGTCTTGAAATATACGTCCCGCGAGATAATTTTTAGAAGATGAAAAAGTTTTTAATCCAACGATTTATTAATAATTTAGAGCAACATTTAATTTTATTTCTTATAATCGTTATGGTCTCTGGTTAAAAGTTGACAAAATGTGGTGCGGCTATAATTTGTTCGGCATTATGTGAATTAGCAAAATCCTTTTTATTTTTATTTTGTTTCACTTTTATTTACACAACTTATCATATTGAAATCGCAAATGTTTTTGTCGGTTTTTAGTTTAGCACATATGCCCATATGTATTTATGAACATATGTAAGTATATGCGATTAAAATGCTTTCTACAAGGTGCTTTGAGTTCGTCAGCCAATATCTTCGTGCAAGACGAAACAAAAAAATTCTAAATGAGTCAGTAATTATTTATATGCGTTTATGTTAGAGTATTACTCCATAGAAATGATTTGGTAAAATCTATATTTATTTGTTTTATGCTGAATTTTATTTCATGCCAATAAATAAAAAATTAAATATAAAAATATATATTAAATGTGAATTACGGAGCAACGTGCAAAGATAAGAATTAAGTACATAAATAACGTTCAGGCAATGTGAAATAAACGGGGAAGGTATGTATGTACTATATCAAACTTTGTACATACTTACACTTATGTGTACATACTTATGCTGCACTTTGAGTGAGCGCTACGCAAGCGCATATTGTACCTACCAGAGTATATACCTGAGCCAATGCCTTAACAAAGGATTTTATATTGAAAAATCGTTCATATGAAATCTAGAGTGTTTGTAAAAACTTATTTAACCTTTGAAACCAACACCAATACATTCGATTGTGAAATGCAGTATATATATATATAGGAATAAAGTAATTTTCCTATAACTTGTAAAGAGCTACCTTATAAATTTCTATAATACTTTCGCACAGAATTCTGTGACTTTAATTCTTAAATTACTGTTTTTACATAACTCTCGATATCCTGATAATTTTTTTTTAATAGGAATAACAAATAGCAAAAGAAACTACTGTTCAACGGAAATTGCATATAATGGAAAACATATACATGTATACACAGTAAATATGTGTATTTGTGCAAATAAAATAAATACATATATTTAATATTTCTATTTGTTTTGCACATAGTGTTATGTTAAATTTTCATTTTTTTGTTTGCCTTCTACTTTGTTAATGAGACAGTTTTTAGTTTACTCTTGTTTTTGCTTCTTTTCATTTTGCGAATTGTGCTAATTAAAGGTGGGGATTAGTCACCAATTGGCACTTGTTGCGCGTGCTTACCAACAAGGTACTTTAAGCGAATTGAAATGCAATGTGAAATAATAAGGGTATTCACAGTGTTGATCATTTAGTTAATGCCGTAATGATTCTTATTACCAACACAAATGCACATTGCATTTTTCAATAACATATGTAAGTGTAAACTATAATCTCACTAATGTGACCAGATAAATAGGGAAAATTCAAAAATTACTAAATAACACCTATAAAGTCTAATAGAAAATGAATAAAAAGTAAATAGTCATTCTGTCTAAAATTATCCAGGTCGATTGATCTTGGATTTAAATTTGGGATAAAATTCACCAGGATTGTTCCTTGAACAATTTAGGGAGAACCGCATTTTTAAATCGAAAAGTTGCATTGAGAATGTCGTTGTATAAAGCTTTTTAAATTGAGCTAAACAGATGTTTATTTATATGCAAAATAAGCGCTGGTATTTTTCTTCATAATAAGGAACAACTATCTTAGTCTTAATTTTTATCTCAATTTCAATTTTAATCCTAATCTTAATCTTTACAATACCTATTTTCAATCGTAATCTTAATCTTAACCTTAATCTTAATGTTATTCTAAATCTTAATCTTAATATTTTTCTTAATCTTAATCTTAATATAAACATTAACATTAACCTTAATTCTAATCCTAGTCTTAATCTTAACCTTAATATAAACATAAATCTTAATCTTTATAGTAATCTCAATAATAATCTTCATCTTAATCTTAATTTTTTTCTAAATATTAATCTTAAGATTAACCTTAAGAAGAATATTAACCTTATGGGCTTATTCATAAAATATAAAGTTGCTTTAAAAAAGGTTTATAAACTGAAAAATGTATGAAAACGTCTTTTTATAAAGCTCTTTAAACCTACTTTATTTTTTATGAA